CTAAATGATACCACATAATCTATCAAACCTACAGTAAGGGAGTGGGAGTGACCAACGTGCAGCCCGTACAAAGCAGAGCTCAGGTGCACGTGCAGCTGCCTGGGGAGGGCATGGGGACCCCACTCTCGAGGCTCGGGGTGTGGAAGGCTCGTTTGCATCGTGCCATTTTGGGTGAGATGCAAATCCCCTTCAGAAGTCTTTCTAAGGCTGGTCTTTCGTAAGCTTTCGTACTGTGAGCTTTCAAGAAGTGGGGGAGGACCTGCATGCTGCGTGTATGGCCATCGACCACAAGCGTTTACTCAAACTTTCCCTGATGGGCATCAACGGCCAGAGGGGCTCTGAGGCCTCCTGCCCACTGCCAGGTGGGTGAAGGCTGTTTCAAAGGTCCTAGGCGAGTGAGACCGCAGAGGGCGCTGCCCTGACTATACCCATCTGCTGAATCTGCCCTCAAACTCCTGTCCGCAGCAACCATGAGCTAACGAGGGTTTGTTTTTCGCCTCGCTAAGCTGTGGAGTAATCTGGAACTCATACCAGTATACTGTTTAAACTCTAAACGTTTGGGGATTTTCTAGACATCTTACTGTTATGTTCGGTCTCCTCTGAATTTCACTAGTTAGCCAGCCTCTCTCCCTTTCTCCTCTCCTCCCAAGACTTCAGGGGCACCTGTGTTAGCCCTCTTTCACACTTTCCCCTTTCGTCTGCATTTCTTCTCTCGAGCCTGGCTAGTCTCCAAGGCCCTTCCTGCTCCCGTGTCACACCCAGTCGTGGCTCCCCACAGAATCCTGCCTGGGCCGCCCAGGCCTTCTCCGTCGTCCACCAGCTGTGTCCTTCCTCCACTGCACCCCCACTCTGTCCAATTCAGCGTCCCCTCCATTCTTTCTTTCTCTCCTACTTGGATGCTAACATCCTTGTCCCTTGCCTTTGACAATCCCTCTCTTTCACCTAAATGATCATAATGGAGAACTTAATCAAGTTTCTTTCCCCCTGTCAGAAAGGCCCACTGGCGGTGTAGCAGTGAAGCTCTCTCAGCTGCTTACTGAAAGGTGATCGTTTGGATCCACTAACTGCTCTGTGGGAGAAAGAGGTGGCCGTCTACTTCTGTGAACACTACCCATCTTGGAAATCTCGATCTTGTAGGCTCCTTATGAGTTGGAACGGGCTTTAGAGCAGCAACAAGTTTGGTTTGGGGTCTGTTGACAAGGCAGATGCTGTTGTTCAAAAGCACTAGGCAATTAAATTCCATTGTCTACTATGACCACACAGGACAGTTTTTAACCTGTGGCCTAAGTGCTGACATACTTTTAGATGCCCATTGGAAGACCATGTTTGGATGTGCTCAAACTAAATTTAGCTTGTGTTCTGACTGAGGCAACAATTCTAACCCCTTCACGATAGCATTTCATCTCACCTGGCTAACCTGGTTTCATCTGTGGTCAGGACAAGAACGAGATCAGGTCTATGAATGTCTGCCCTTTCAAACAAAGATGCTGATCGCTCATGCTTGTGTTCTTTTGCTTCAACATAAGCACCAGTGTAAACATATCGAGTGTCAAATGCACTGGTCACCAACCCATCCGAATACAAGACTATTTTATAACCTTTAACAGTTTTTCTGTTCCGTTTGGTTGCTGTCAGAAGATCTGCAAATTTCATAAGAAAAAAACCCGACTGGGAAATTTCCAACACGAACATCATTAAC